GAGAAAACATAAGTACTTGTGTTGTATTGTTTAAACATCTATACTTATAAATTAATAAATTTTGCAAATAAACTCCGAAACGGGTGCACCAGAGTTCTTACTAACTCCTCTAAGAATACACTAGATACAAGATGATGTCCGTAAACTATATTTAGATTTCACTCGCATAGTTCGTATCGTACATTAAATTAAAAGTCTACCCTCATTTTCTATAAACAGCCATGAAATAGCAAAAACATGAGTACGGTGGCGTTTCCGGTTGGCGGATCTAAGTTACTGGCAATTTTTAATGACACTGACAACAAGCAATCGTTTATTTATTTCATAAAACGTCATCACTGAATTATTCAATCAAAACTTGATTTAAATGATATAAAAGACATAAGTTATGATACCCGATTAAAAAGGGAAATGTGCAAATTATTTCCTTCATTCACCAATCTTAATATTGACGGAAGCTTCTAGAACATCATATAGCATCGAGCCCGATGTTAAAAAAAATCCATGCGATTATGCTGCACGAACATAAAAAAAAAGCTTTTGTGTGAATGGTCATTGAAATAATGGTAAATCATTGATAACACTATAAGTTTTGAATATATTTACATATCGAAAGACTATTACATATATGTAGTAGGTTTTCCTAATAAATTTATCGGTAAAATCCTCACTGAGAGCATAGTGGCAACGAACCCGAAGTACAATTTCACATCGTAATAAACTTGCTTACATGAAAAGAGAAAATTAATGAATAAGGTATTGTTCAAATACAATTAAAGCTGTAAATTTTTGTGCTTTAGTCCATACGTTTCAGTTCTTTTTTTCTGAATACAGTCTTTTGTATCAAATACTCGGCCTATTAATATAAAGGGCATTAAAAGCAACCCCCCCCCCTCCGAAAAAAAATCAATTTATTAATAAAATGTGCATTTTCGCTGCTTTTTTTCCTTTACAAAAATGAAATAAAAGCACCTGAAGAACAATATCCATAACTATAACATAGTATAACAGGTTTCACTATAAACGTCAATTAATGAAATAGTTATTTTTCAAGTTTTTACAAAAAAGGGGGGCGTACATCTACTTCATCCGGGATTTTGAACAAAGTATTTCTTCCTGCTATAAACCTGTAGGTTTTCAGTAAAAACTACAATATATATTATTGGAATTTTTCTTTCGGTTGTGGTATAAATTCAATTCCCCGCGCTTGCGCGGGATTTCATCTAGTTAATACTTATAAATTAACTAGATTTTGACCCGTGCGTGCACGGGTTGACATTGTTATGAATGCATCCATGTGCATATCGGACATTTACAAAATAGATACATCGACACATTCATATTGTAAGGTATTTTTGAAATAAACAATGAATGTTAATATAATTCTGTTTTTTTTTTTTTTTGTGTTTGTTTTGTTTTGTTTTTGTTTTTGTTTTTTTTAAATTGTTGCGTAACGGCGTAGCGCAGAATGGGTTTGACCACCAGTTAGCTATAAATCAAGTCTTGAGTTCGAATCACGCCGGAGCTTACATAAATTTCACCTTTCCAAACAAATTTAATAAAAGAAATTATGGATCGATGTTCATTGAAAATATGACAACAGTAAAGAGTTGAGCACACTGCTGATACATATCACGCAAGGTAATGAAAATGAAGAATTGTGCTAAGCTGGTATTTTTACACAATCAGTTATTAAAGTAAAGGTGTAAAAAATTTTGTAACAATTTTAACACTGCAGGTCTCAACTTTTTCAAAATATGACCTCAACAATAAAAGAGTTAAGCACTGCTAATACATATACTTTATATATACACAGGTAATAGATAGGTATATAATCTGTAAAAGACTGTCTGTTTTGATAAAAATTAATGTAATATCCTTGAATTGGTACATAGAAAAAGTAATAAAAATAGAAGCTTAATTGAGAAAAAATAAAAACAAATTGGTAATCTTCAAGTACCAATGATGTTTAAAATACATAAAACAAAAGACAGTATTCTTCCGATTTATCGGTATTAAAGGCCAAAAATTCGAGTCTATAATTTTTATATAGTAGTTATTGTAATTTTTGGCGGAAAAAGAATGCCTACTTCACTAAGATGTGATTCTAACTGGAGTTGTAACACCCCCCCCCCCTTCAGTTCCCCTCAAAAAAGCATAAAAGAAAGGAGGGATAAAATAAATCGGGGTAGTTACATTAATGTTGCTCCTACGATCATGAGCTTTTTGCCTCCGTTAAGATGGCCAGAGATATAAATAACATATAATAAATGTGTCTCCGAGATGGCGAATGATTACCCACGTGGCCACAATATCACATTTGTATGGATATAAACTCAGAAACGATTACGATAATACAAACATATAGACGTCAGAAGCAAATTGAAAGTGGGGTGGCTATTTGAAAGTGGGGCGGGGGGGGGACCAAACCAACGAAAAAAGGTAAGCCCCACTTTTCAATGCCTATATTATGCCTATCTTTGCAAAAAAAAGTGGGGGGGGGCTAAGCCCCCCTAGCCCCTCCCCCCCCCCCCGGTTCCGACGCCTATGACAAATACGTGTAAATTTTCATTGGAAATTTGCTATATATTCTGTTCATATACATTAATGATTTCTTATTAGAGAAATTATACAATAACAAATATATATCTACTTAGTATATACTTTTGTCTTCTCTGATTTGAACACACTCTCGACCAACGGGCTCATACATTCGTGTATAAGAGAGAAACGAACGACAACTCTGCAAGGGAGATTGATTTGAACACCGTGATTTAGCGTGAATGTAATGCGCACGCGCAAGATTGTAAAATCCAAAAAATCCAGATGATTTCCGGAATTTTTTGAGGAATTTTCGTTGATTATTAATTAGCGAAGCTTAATTGAGAAAAAATAAAAACAAATTGGTAATCTTCAAGTACCAATGATGTTTAAAATATATCAAATAAAAGATGGTACTCTTCCGATTTATCGGTATTAAAGGCCAAAAATTCGAGTCTATTATTTTAATATAGTAGTATAGATAAATTTTGCAAATAAACTCCGAAACGCCAGCACTAGAGTTCATACTTACTCCTCTAAGAATACACAAGGTATGAGGTGATGTCCGTAAACTATATTTAGATTTCACTGGCATAGTAATTATGGTAAATTTAATTAAGTCTACTTTCATTTTCGATAAACAGCCCTGAAATAGCAAAAAAGAGAGTAAGGTGGTGGTTCCGTTTGGCGGATCTATGTCACTGGCAAATTTTAATGAAACGGACAACAAGCAATCGTTTATTTATTTATTTCATAAAACTGAATTATTAAATCAAAACTTAATTTAAGTGATATAAAAGAAAGAAGTTGTGATAACCGATTAAAACGCAACATGTGCAAATCGTTTTCGTAACTCATCTTAATTTTGACGGAAATTTCTAGAACATCATATGGCATCAAGCTCGATGTTAAAAGGAAAAACGAGGCGATCATAAAAAAGCTTTGGTGTGAATGGGAATGGAAATAATGGTAAAGCAACAATTGATAACACTACAAGTTTTGAATATATTTTTATATCGAAAGTTGCGCTAATATATTTATCAGTAAAATGTGCATATTCGCCACTAAGAGCATCATGGCAACGAACCCGAAGTACAATTGGCATTTTGTGATGATCTTGCTTACAGGAAAAGAAAAAAAATCTAATTAATGAATATGGTATTGTTCAAATATAACTTAAGTTGTTAAAAATTAGTCCTTTAACCAATACATTTCATGGGTTTTCTTCTTTTTTTTCAAATTGTTTGTTTTGTTTTGTTTTTGTTTGTTTGTTTGTTGGTTGGTTTTTTTTCTGAATACAGTCTTTTGTATCAAACACTATGTCTAAACATACATGTAGGTGTTAGAAGCTAATTTTTACATAAATGTGCCGACTTTATCAGTAAAATGTGCATATTCGCTTCTTTTATCCTTGATGGAAATGGAATATGAGCACCAGAAGTACATTATCTATAACATAGTCTAACAGGTGTCAAAATAAACGTCAATTAATGAAGCTGTTATTTTTCAAGTTTTTACAAAAAAAGGAAAAGGAGGCGTATATCTACTGCTGCTCCGAAACTAACCGCAGATTTTGAACAAAGTATTTCTTCCTGCTATAAGCCTGTAACTAACTGTCAGTAAGAACTATAATATATACATTGTATGTTATTGAAATTGTTCTGTCAGTAGTGGTAAAAATTCAATTCCCTGCGCTTGCGCGGGATTTCATCTAGTCTATCATAAATAATTACATATTATGCAACTCTGAAGTGTATTATGTACGTATCATGTGCTTAAAATTGCTTGGTTTTAGTGATGTCATATAAAGCCCTCTGTTGATGAATACAGGAATTTCTTTATCATGCAAAGTATCATATCCAGGAAAGGAACTGTTGTAATGTCAGCTTATTACGTTTCTAAAATTACTGTCATCTTTTGCAAGAAGAAAAAAAAATTAAAAAAGAGACCTACGAAAATTAACTTTTCATTGTTGCATTAATACGCTTGTGCAACTCTATTAAGAGAATAAGATATTCGTTTATTTTTCAGATTTGGGCGTTATGAATAATCAATGTAGATCAAATCTAACAAGTACTTTTGGCAATGTATTCACGTCATCAGAGAGTATCGTTGACAACACTAGAAATTCAGAGGAAAGGGACCGTTTTATACCAGACTGGCGTTTGTGTGAGAATGGACAGATATGTGCAGTAGATATTTCGGGCAAATGCTATCTTTTCTGTCCTGTAAATTGTTCTTGTAAAGGTTTGATGCTAAATTGCTCTTCTGCAATAAATATACCGACTTACGCCATATCCCTCACACTGAATGATTTACAGCAAGAACAATTAAATTTCAGAGGACAGCACTTGAATTTAAGAAAAATTATAATTACCTCTTCCAGTATCGGTTTCTTACATATTGATAAAAATGTCAATTTGCGGGAACTTAAAGTTGAAAACTGTGAAATTACTAAAATGGCATTCATTGATGATGAAAAAAACTATTTGCGCTTATTAAATATTGTGAATAGCTCAATAGCAACCATAAAATTTTCTCAGAGATTTAATCATTATTTTGAATTGTATGTTCGAAATAGCTCGCTGAATTCGACGTCATCATTTCAGATTAGAAAGCTTTTGGGAAGCAAAGCAAATATAATAGAGAGTAAGGGTTTTCCGAATCTCATCAAAAGATTTCATCACCTGGTTGTTAACTTCAGTTTCTGCAATTTAACCGAACTACCAAATTTTTATGTCGAAACAATCACTTTCGATCTTCGTCAAAACAAGTTAAGGAATTGTAGCATTCTGTTTTTCACGCAAATTTTACACCTACAATATAATGAATTTGAATCAGTTAATGTATTTGTTGATACAAGGCAATCCGAGGCTCGCCTACAATACCTAGACCTTTCCTATAATAAAATTGGTAAGATAGGAAGAAACGATCTTGCACATTTACCTAATCTTCTCTATCTTAAGCTAAATAAAAATTTCATCGCATTTATTGACGAACACGCGTTTTCAAAAATGCCTAAACTTCTTCAATTGGAATTATCAAATAATCATTTACATTCCTTAAACAGAAATCATTTCTTGCGTCTTTCTAGTTTGCAATTCCTTGACCTTCAAAACAACAACTTGAATGTGGTAGAGGGATTGTTTGATGGTCTCGTTAGTATTCAGTTCCTGTCAGTGGATTACTTTACGTTATGTTGTGCCCAACCTAAAGTTAGGGGTAAGGTTCAGTGTTTGGCTCCAATAAACCGAGTTTCCTCATGCGAGAACTTAATTGACACACCATTTCTCGGTATCCTTATCTGGTACATAGCACTTTTGGCGGTGTTGGGAAACTCTCTTGCTACTTTTTATAGGTTGTATGTTCTGAGGAGGTCCCCCGTCTCATCATTTGTCATTTATTCCATTAATTTGGGTGTGGCAGACTTTCTGATGGGTGTGTATGTCTACATAATTGCGGGGGCTAACGTGACGTTCACTGGCCGTTATGGATATGCAGATAAGTGGTGGAGACATAGTCCACTCTGCACTTTGGCCGGTGTTATAGCCACTCTCTCTAGCGAAGCATCTGCTCTGTTTGTCCTTTTGATCACAATTGATAGAATTTACATCATAAGATTTCCATTTTCAAACATTAAGGGGAAAAAGTTAAGACCAAACCTTCTTTCCATCTTTGTGTGGTTCACTGCTATCCTTCTTGCTTCACTGCCTTTATTTGGAACTGATTACTTCGATGACTATTATTCGGGCTCTGGTATTTGTATCTCTTTACCTCTTTCTGTTCAGCGTAAAACGGCTTGGGAGTACTCTATGGCAGTCTTTGTTGGGGCCAACTTCTTGATCTTCGTAGCAATATTAGTAGGACAAATAGTAATATTTAGTGACGTGGTAAACGCCGGAAAACATCTGCAAATCAACAAGAGCACTGAAAAACGACGGGAGATTGCATTGGCTAAGACTTTGATTGCAGTAGCAGTGACAGACATGTTTTGTTGGATACCAATAGGAGTGATTGGTATGTATCTATAAAAAGTTATTGGTATGTATCTGTTAGGAGTGATTCGTGTGTATCTGTCAGAGTGATTGGTATGTATCTGTTAGGAGTGATTTGTATGTTTCTGTTAGATGTGATTGGTATGTATCTGTTAGGAGTGATCGGTATGTATCTGTTAGGAGTGATTGGTGTGTATCTGTTAGATGTGATTGGTATGTATCTGTAAGGAGTGATTGGTATGTATCTGTTAGAGTGATTGTTATGTATCTGTTAGGAGAGATTGGTATGTATCAGTAAAGAGTGATTGGTATGTATCTGTTAGGAGGGATTGGTATGTATCTGTTAGGAGAGATTGGTATGTATCTGTTAGGAGTGATTGGTATGTATCTGTTATGAGTGATTGGTATGTATCAGTTAGGAGTGATTGGTATGTATCTGTGAGAAGTGATTGGTATGTATCTGTTAGAGCGATTGTTATGTATCTGTTAGAGTGATTGGTATGTATCTGTTAGGAGTGGTTGGTATGTATCTGTTAGGAGTGATTGGTATGTATCTGTGAGAAGTGATTGATATGTATCTGTTAGAGTGATTGGTATGTAACTGTTAGGAGTGATTGGTACGTATCTGTTAGGAGTGATTGGTATGTATCTGTAAGAGTGATTGGTATGTTTCTGTTAGGAGTGATTGGGTATGTATCTCTTAGGAGTGATTGGTATGTATCTGTTAGGAGTGAGTGGTATGTATCTGTTAGGAGAGATTGGTATGTATCTGTTAGATGTGATTGGTATGTATCTGTTAGGAGTGAGTGGTATGTATTTGTTAGATGTGATTGGTATATATCTGTTAGATGTGATTGGTATGTATCTGTTAGGAGTGAGTGGTATGTATCTGTTAGGAATGGCTTGTGTGTATCTGTTAGGAATGATTGGTATGAATCTGTTAGGAGAGATTGGTATGTATCAGTAAAGAGTGTTTGGTATGTATCTGTTAGGATGGACTGATATGTCTCTGTTAGGAGTGATTGGTATATATCTGTGAAGAATGATTGGTATGTATCTGTAAGGAGTAATTGGTATGTATCTGTTAGGAGTAATTGGTATGTATCAGTAAGGAGTAATTGGTATGTATCAGTAAGGAGTAATTGGTATGTATCTGTAAGGAGTAATTGGTATGTATCTGTTAGGAATGATTGGTATGTATCTGTTAGGAGTGATTGGTTTGTATCTGTTAGGAGTGATTGGTATGAATCTATAAAGAGTTATTGGTATGTATCTGTTAGGAGTGATGGCTATGTATCTGTAAGTAGTGATTGGTGTGTATCTGTTAGAGTGATTTGTATGTATCTATAAGGAGTGATTGGTATGTATCTGTTAGGAGTGATTGGTATGTATCTGTTAGGAGTGATTGGTATGTATCTGTTAGAGTGATTGGTATATCAGTGTTCCAGCTAGGATCTGAAAATGGAGGGGACTTTTTTGCCACGTATACCGTTTGTCACGGTATATATTTTATAATATATCTGTTAGAGTGATTGGTATGTATCTGTTAGGAAAGAATAGTATGTATTTATTAGGAGTGATTGTTATGTGTCTGTTAGAGTGATTGGTATGTATCTGTAAGAGTGATTAGTATGTCTCTATTAGGAGTGAGTGGTATGTATCTGTTAGGAAAGAATGGTATGTATCTGTTAGGAGTGATTGGTATGTATCTGTTAGGAGTGATTGGTATGTATCTGTTAGAGTGATTGGTATGTATCTGTAAGGAGTGATTGGTATGTGTCTATTAGAGTGATTGATATGTATCTGTTAGAGTGATTGGTATGTATCTGTTAGGAGTGAGTGTTATGTATCTATTAGGAGTGATTGGTATGTATCTATTAGGAGTGATTGGTATGTATCAGTTAGGAGAGATTGATATGTATCTGTAAGGAGTGATTGGTATGTATCTGTTAGAGTGATTAGTATGTATCTGTTAGGAGTGATTAGTATTTATCTGTTAGAGTGATTGGTATGTATCTATAAGGAGTGATCGGTATGTATCTGTTAGGAGTGATTGGTATGTATCTGTTAGAGTGATTGGTATGTATCTGTTAGAGTGATTGGTATGTATCTTTTAAGATTGATTGGTAAATAACTGTTAGGAGTGATTGGTTTGTATTCGTTAGGAGGGATTGGTATGTGTCTGACGTTAAGAAAAGAAGACAGCAGCTACGTATTGCTTAAGCAATGAATCATTATTTTTTGAGAGATGTAGTCTCATAGCTGCAACGGTTTGTGCAAACAAATTGTGTAACGCACGTTATTATACCCCACGGTACAAGTTGTGGGGTAATCTCCTATGCAGAGTTGTCGTTCGTTCCTCTCTCAGACACCTCTGCAATGGGCTCGCGTCAAGATTTTTGACATAACGTAAAAAACATAACATTTCAAGGATTATTTCAAATTTAACCAATAGTTTTAGATCTATTTAGTAAATATCTATCTTTAAAGACTATCATTAGCTCAGACATAAATTATAATGAATTTTAAAAAACTGCACTATTTCTTGTGCTTATCACTGTGATATACGTGAGCCAACACAGAGGTGAATGTATGAGCCGATGGTAGAGAGTGGTTGTGGGGGTATAATACTTTTGACCAGTCCGTCAGCCAGTCAGTCCTGTTTTGTTTTTTGGTGTGTTTTTTTTTTTTGTCAGCGCAACTCCTCATAAACCGCTGCACAGAATTTGATCAAATGTTGTAGATATTTAGGACACAATGTGTAGATGTGCATATTACTAGGAAATTCCGATTTCTTTATTTTTTCTGGGAATTTCGGCACTTTTAATCTTAGATTTTTTGCCAAATCTTGAATATAGAGATGAACAGTTTGTCAGCGCAACTCCTCTTTAACCGCTGCACAGAATTTGGTCAAACTTTGCAGATATTTAGTACACAGTGTGTAGATGTACATATTACCAGGAAATTCCGATTCCTTTATTTTTTCTGGGAATTTCGGCACTTTTCAACTTAGATTTTTGGCCATATCTTGAATATAGAGATGAACAGTTGTCAGCGCAACTCCTCTTTAACCACTGCACAGAATTTGGTCAAACTTTGCAGATATTTAGCACACTGTGTGTAGATGTGCATATTACCAGGAAATTCCGATTCCATTATTTTTGCCCTAAAAGTTTTCCTATTATTGAAGAAACTTTCTAGCTAGGTATAAGGAAATCCACTGATATCAGCTTTTGTAATGAAATTTTATGTGAAATATTTTATGACCTTAAAAGACCCCTATTGATTTTGAGATCAAACTATTAATGATTTAATACACACACACACACCCTCACACACACACACAATCTTGGATGGTTCTCATCCCCCCTCTCCCTCAAATTGACGCTTTGCCTTAAATAATTGCATAAGTACAGTATATAAACAAATTCTTGTGACTACATCATAATTTTGTTTCCATTAATTATTTGAATGTGTAAATTGTCATGTGTTGGACATTGACTTACACTCGTTAACAAATCGAAATCACTGAGGAATTTAAATAACAGTTTGTCAGCATAACTCCTGCACTGAATTTCCTGAAACTTTGTAGGTATTTCAGACATAATGTATAGATATGTATATTACTAAGAAATTTTGATTCCATTATTTCAGCCCAATTAAATTTGTAACATACAAAGATTTGAATGTCCTTATATGCAAGAAGTTTTGATGTGATGATTTTTTGCTGCAAGTAATGCCCCTTTTTTGAATTATACTGTGTATTTAAAATGCACTGTGTCATTCATTACGTGTTGCATTGTCGAGTTTTAGGGGAGCGTGGGATATGTGAGCTTGCTCAATTTTTTCTTTCATTGCGTTATGAAAATGTGATTTATATTTCAAAATCCCTGTATTATATTTCGGTAAGTTACAATTAATGGAAGAGCCGTTGCAACAGCTTCTGTTCAATGTAAGCCTGAATTTTGATTTTCGCTTATGACGTTGCACTTCCACGGCGTTCAACGTTTGTGACGTCAAAATAAAACGCATACTTTAACCTTTTGACCCCCTGTCCATGTTATGGTGTTTTGAATGCCGTAGCTTTCCTCACACTTTACAGGAGGAATACATTTGGAATGTAAATATAATATTTTGTACTTTCAGTTTTTCTTTAAAGGCTGGTTGTACATGATAGTTTATTTCAGTTTTTCTCAGGATGATTTTTTTAAAATATTTTTTTAAGAAGCTGTTAAAATTATATCCCCCGTGTTTCAGGCCTGCTGACGTTCCTAGGTGTTGATGTCACCTCAAAGGTCTATGCCTGGGTGGTGGTGGTGGTTTTACCTATAAATTCGGCACTGAATCCCCTAATCTACACATTTTCTGCCATAATAAGATTAGGAAGAAATAAGGTATTATTATTTTTAAGGAAGAAGAACAGAAGTATGATTTCTTTTGCTTTTGTTTGTGTGTATGTTTTATTTATTGACAAATAAATATTAAGTATTTCGAGTCATTCAATCCGTTTTTTTTTTCTTGCCGTTCAATCTTTCATTGTGATAAAGACCTATTTTTGCTTTTCTAGATGCGATTGAAATCAGAGAAATGTCAGAATTGGAAAACACAAGATGAATTCACACTGGAAGAAAAAGCTGAGGTACACCTGATATTAATTTCTGCCGAGAATTTATTTATAAATGGAAAATTTTCTTTACACTAATTTCAACCTTATGTACGCAATTACATTGACAGAAAATTTTGGTGATTAGGAATTAGTTTTCCCCACTGTATTAAAATTAAAAACTGTGTCTTAATTCGGACTTAAATGATATCGATAAGGTTGTATAAAAGCGTTGATGAATGGGGGATGTTTGGTTTTTTTGTTTGTTTGTTTTTTTTTTAATTTTTTTATTTATTTATTTTTGGGTTGCATTTTTTTTTGTTCAGTTGGATTTTCTTTATATATTGCAAGAAAATCGGTTATGAAATTACATCAAATTTGTATTGTATAAAGTATTATCTCTGTTTTAAATTTTTTAAAATGCTATATTAGCATCACCGATTCATTTGTTTTAACAGGTAAATCATGGAGCTGAAAAAGATGCAGAGATTTTCAAAGAAAGCTAGACAGTGAAAAAATGACGTACACGTGAAAAGCATGATGATTAGTAGTCTGAAACGCATTTCATTTAACGTCAACGTTAAATCGGAATTGGAGTGGTTATAAGTTTTTATTACTTATAAACTCTCTTTGCTATTCTATCTGTTACGTACTCGTGTCTTGTTTGCATCTCCATTTAATTAACAAAGTGATATTTGTTTTATCTATATTTTATTTCACATCAACTGACATTCTACTAGTACTATTAAAAAAGAACCAAAAAAAAAAATAATGAATACTCTCTTTAACTCTAAAATTAGTGGTTGACCAAAAAGAGCAATTTTCTTATTCATTTTGAATATTAATTATAACCCTTTGGACACGTTGTATGCTGAACTACGACAATGGAATTGTCAAAGAGAGCAACGTTGGATTGACCCTCGATTCAGGCTTAGCTAGCTTTCGTATAGATACTTTAAACAGTTAAAGTGCATTAATGTTTTCAGAAAATAGGCAAAATTCTAGTTTCCCTTAATCAGACCTAATTTTTTTTTCTACTTTGTATCAGGAAATAAACAGAAGGTTTTAGACGCTGGATTGGACTATCGCGCCATCGAGGATTTGGTCGCGATAACGGTGGTGCGATAACGATGATGCAATGCTGCGATAGCGCGATAACGATGATGTAATGGGGGATGGCACGATGGAGCGATAGCACTATGACGCGATAATAGGATGGCGATAACACGATGGTGCAATGACGATGAAGCGATGCTTCCTATCGCCCCATCGTTCTATGGTACTTTTGCATCATCGTCATCTCGCTATCGTACTGTTGCGTCTTCGTCATTGAAGCATGTAGCTGCAGAACTGTAGCGTCATGGTTTTATATATATATAAGTCTTTGACCATAACGCTACAGATCCCGTAATGCAAATATGGTGCAATGTACGGCGCAAGATCTTCTGTGCACGGTTAGGGAGAATTTTTCCACTTTCCAGCATTGGTCAATCAACTGCCTTTCACTCCCTAATTCCAGAGATATTCTTTAACCAACCTGTATATTTTATCCACCTCCTGACACTTTATAGTTGTCTCTACAGACCAATAAACTCGCTTGTTTTGAATTTTTTTGTCGGATGGCAGAAAATTCAAAACAAACGAGTTTATTGGTCTGTAAAGACGACTATAAAGGGTTAAATTAGGAGGTGGAATGTTCAAGTAATCGCCGTTTTAAGTTTACAAAAATGCATCGAGTCACAAATTGATTACTTCTACATCAATAAACTTGCCTCAATTCAAAGTAGTCTATTTCTGTATCTGTTGCTATGAATGAAAGCAATGAGCGCCTTTGCATAAGCAAATGCAAATCACTGATATTGACAGTTAGACTCTCAATCTCAGTGTGACGAAATCCTTTTCATGTCCAGCTCACGTGATCAAGGTTTGACAATGGAGCATGAGTTTCAAAAGGCGAGAGAGAGAGAGACTAAGAGTCTAAAAGATGCAAAATAAGAAAAGTATAACATTTTTTTTAAAGGAAGGGTTATTAAAATCTAATGATATGAAGATTAGAAACTGAGTAGGAATTGGGTGCAATGTCTAAGCGGCACACCAATAGGTACCCCCCTTTCCTCTACTGTTAAGAAACCAACCCACTCCCCAGAATTTTCCCTAAATTATAGGCCAGTAGAACACGGGGGGTCGGGAGGCACTTTATTCTGAGTATAGTCTTTTTTTGTTATAGTTTAAATATGTGAATTTTCATTTAGATGCTGGTGACCCCCTCCCCTCACTTTTTGTTGTAAGGTCGAATAGAGGCGAATTCCAACATTAAAAATAGTACCAAAATGTTAGAATAGAGGAAGGTTGGCTCAATCATTACAAAAAGCTTGTTGCCTAGCTGACGCCACGTGCGTCAGGCAGTACATGTATAAGGATCAATTTTTCCATGGTCCGAAACTAAGCGATCATACTTCGTATGCTAGCTTTTGTGCAAGCTGATAGACATCGGAATTTGTTGCCTGCATTTTAACAAATACGGTTTGCAGAAGAAAGAATCATATTGCTGCTGTAAAATAATGATGTGTTTACTTCCTTCAGTTTTTTAGTTGTTTTTTTTTTTTTTTTTTTTTTTTTTTTTTTGGCATGCACCTGTTTATTCTTTGCGATTCTTTATACGGACATGTCCGTGGAACATTTTTTCTGCGTTTCTAACCATTTGTCTTCTACGAAAGGGGTGAGACAATCATTTCGCGCCAAATGTCACAAGTAAATTATCTGCACGCCTTTTTCTTGGATTGTTCTATTGAATGGGTGTGATAACTTCTATGGAAATAAATATTGTTCTTTTAATCTGATTCTTAAGCTTCAGTTTTTTTTATTAACTGCAAATTTTATCTCATTTTTTAAATAACACATTGTATTTAGGCAGGCAACACTAAAGCAATGGATTTGCTGATTATTTTTACTATTTTGTTTCCCGGTTATCCCATAAGAGGACTAGTCCAATTATAATCAAACTCCCACCACCTGGTAAATGGGACATCCCCTGTCCATCCAGTCTGTTTTCCTCCTTTCATTTAATATTACAAAATAATGTACGTTACAATATTAGCTTTTTAAAAAGCTTAAAAAGTCAGCCAGTAGCATATTATTCCATGCTTTGTGATGAACAAGAATTTCCTTTGATACAATGACAAGAGTGTAGGCCAGTACCCGTAAATGAATGGGCTTCACTGCCGTAAGATTCTAAGTAAAGAATCAGCAAAAGGAAGAAGACATTATAATCTGTGCTGGTTTTAATTTCATAAAAAAGCACGCTGCATGTATTGTAGAAGAAATGAGAAAGGTCCTGAAATTGATTGAAAAGTAAAACTGTAAAAGATTTTAGAATTGTACATTAAGATGTATTTTAAACTCATTCATAATATATGGTAAGACCATCATCGCAAGTGAGTTTCGTACGGGGGGGGGGGGGGGTATTAGTTTCTTGTTTTGCTCTAGCTATAAAGTGTACTGGCCATTTACTTTGCGTTGTAGAGCAGCATTGAAGCATTTTTGCCTCAAACACTTCAAGACAACTTTCCTAGTTAAAAATGTTTGCAATTTACTTTGTCGTCGAGAACGACGGAGAACAGACTAATCTATAAATAGAGGCCGTCTAATCAATCTATCATTGACCAGAGAGTTTGCACGAAGAAGCGCGCCCTCTGGTAAGTGAGTATGAATTTCTTTAGAACGACTCGTCTAACTATTTTCCCCAGAATTCAAATCTACGCAAGCGCACTTACAGTTTCCTCCCAGCTTAACTAGTCAGCCCGTGGGCTAAGTAATAAATGACCAAACAGTGGCATGTCTTAGATATTCATATTTGGTTCTGACATTTGAGAAAGTCAATGGTACTCTTGTGTAATGAAGTATATATCGGAACTATGTCGTTCTTTGATGACGGAAACGTTTAGCACTTCTCTTGCTTACTGTATACGCTCCATAGATATTGATTGATCTATTGTTGATTTCGTTACGGTCAATGACTTTAGGCTACATATATGTTATAATTCGTTTTCATTTTATTACAGTATGTAGAGATGGGCGGAACCTTTCCATAGACATTTATTATGAAGCATGATTATATTGTCAACACATTTTGAGTTTGTTATCTCAAAATGTTATTTGATTTGATTTTTTCCTTACTTTTCCCTTACTTTTCATTGTAAATAATGGTAATGTCTACATTTTTATTTTTTTCTTGATGTGTGTTTATTTTGCAACACATCTCCTTTGATATAATAAAACATGCCATTAAGGAGGGATTCTTCTCATATTTCTAGTATTTAAAAATCAATGAATTTTTTACAGAATCAAGAAGACAATATTACTAAGTGTTGGTATCAGTTAGATTAAATTTGACCGTTTTAAATTAGAGGCAAGGTCAGGTCAAGGTCATTACCTTTTCCCTAGACATTAAGAATAAAAAATTACTTTTGCCAATCATGCGATGCCTACTTCTATTTCAATAGATTAAATGTTTTTCTTTTTGCATAGAGATATTACCGTATAGGGTCTATAAGATGATATTATCAAATTGACATAAATAATTTAACTAAAATGGATATTGGATAATCTGAATTTTCTCTATTTTTCAAAAAATTTAAGGATATTATAGTTATTTTTATATGCTTTTCTATATTTAATTTTTTCTTATTTTCACATATAGTAGAGATGTCACATACATGTAAAGATACAAAATGATATAAAAACTAAAAGTTTTGATCGTTTACTAAGAGAGAAAAAACACTTTTTACAGATTTTTGGCTCAAATCTGTACTTAGATTGGAAGCTTTTAAAAGCTAACATAATTGTAGTTTGTTTGGAAAATCATATTTATTTGACATATTTTAAAACTTTAGTCCCTTATTATTAATTTAACTTACATTTAAAAATTTCTTCAAGTCTTTGATTGTGTAAAAATTATAACTAAATTCATTGTTCTATAATAATTTTGAGAGGCAGAAAAGAAGACATTTTCATACGCCGCCATTCCGCCAAAAATATAGTCCCCCTTCTTAATTTCAAACTCAGTTTAGCATTTCTATTTAAATTTGTACAATTATGATGAGAAAAGAAAAATATGATCTTTTGAATCTCTTACATCTAAATATATAAAGCATATAAGCAAATATACTTTGAATATTTCATCTAGTCAGAAACCAGAATCCGTCCTTAATGTACGCAGATTATAAAAATCAAATCCAAGGGAGTGTAGATACTGATATGTTATCTTATTGTTTGAAATCTTTAGATCTGAAATTTATTGACTTGGTACATGTACATGTATGTACATGCATTTCTATATATATTTTTTGTCGATGCAATTAATTTTTCAAGAATTTAATTTAATCAACAAAAAAGTCCAGATTCAGTTTGAGCTATTAAAAAGCGGAATTAAACATCTGTAAACATTTTAATGTTTGTTGCAAATCTACAAAAAGTACAAATAGGATACTGTAGGGGTTATTTCTCTTGAGACTGTTTTTCTACAAATCTCGAAAATTTGTAAATCTTCATTTTCATAGACAAGTTTTATTCATAAG